AATAATTTATAAATGATCAAGGGTTCATGAGGGAGGGGGGAACGGGGAGAGAGGGGGAAAAAATGAGGAGCTGAGGCCAGAGGCTTACATCGAGAGCAAATGTTTGAGACTGATTAGGGTAAAGAATGTACAAATGTGCTTTATACAATTGATGTATGTATGGATTGTGATAAAAGTTGTATGAGCCACCAGTGAAATGATTTAAAAACAAAAAACTTGATGTCCTTTTCCAGGGACTGGCCCTCCTGATAATCTGGCCTTAATCCTGTAACAGAGAACTCCCCCCAAAATGGACGCAATAGCCACAGGCCTACTATCCAGCATTACAAAACATCACATAAAGAATTGTGGCTAGAAAAGCTGTCTTAATTGACTGTACCTCAATGTCACCCATGTGGCAAGCCAAAACAAAACAACCAAAAATTTGAAAAACACAATGCTACGGAGTCCATGCTAACTCATATCCACCCCACAGGATACAGTAGAACTGCCCCCCAAGAGTTTCCGAGGCTGTAAATCTCCGTAGAAACTGCCTGTCACTTCTTTCTCCCTCAGTGGTGGGTTTGAGTCACTGAGCAGCTCATCATTCAACCACTGTGTCACCAAACAAACGTGGGTTATTGGAGGTCAGGACGGTTGAAAGGGTAGAATTATACTGATGAGAGAATATTTCAAGACAATTTCTAACATTACCTGGATTTGGCTGGAGATATTCTGTAGCTTTTGAAAGAATTTCTGCAACAGCTTTATTGGTAGTGTCTATTTTCTTAAAGACAACAAGAAAAACACACACACATGAAAATGTTACTAAATAATAAAGCAAAAGAAACAGTCATAATTTTCATTTATTTAATGCTTATAAAACCACCATGATAGTTTTGATACAAGTGGTGCAGTCCGACTTATCGACTCTGTAAGGCAGAGCAGCACTGCCCCTGTGGGTGTTTGAGGCTGTTAACCTTTACGTGAGCAGAAAGCCTCATCCTTCTCCTGCAGAGCCACGGGGAGAGTCACACTGGTGACCTCGCTGACCTTCAAACCCCAACCCAGGATGCCACCAGGGCTGCTTCTCCTGTCCCTTTAAGGGCTCTCGAACCCAAGAATCGGCATCACTGAGCCAAACTTCCCTAACCTGCGGGGTAAACTTGAATGCATACCATTTAAATAATGATAGCATAAGCATTAAGCATATTAGAGGTACCTCAATAAATCAGCAATAGAAGAATCACCACTAGGACCATAATAAAATACGCATGTTCCCTTGTGATGTGATCAGAAGAAATTAGCTTCAAGGTTTCCCTGACAGGTTAAGATTGAATCTTTCCTACTCCAAAGCCATCTCTAATAGGAGAATATTCAAGAAAGTTAAACATGCAAATGTCAATAACTTTATTGCATGCCATCGGTAGCCTGAAAGAAGGTGTTATAGGACAGGGAAAACTGCCCTGGCGACTTCCCCAGACCATCGTTCCTCATAGGAATAGACAGCGTGGCTCTTCTGCACAAGCTGGCGGCCTTGTGAGTAGCACCCCAATTCATGACTACTACATCACCAGGGCTCTGGAAAGGTGTGAAGTCCTTGCCAAATTAATAAATAAAATTAATTCAAATAGAGAGGTGCTTTCTTTTTCTGTGCTTGTTAGAAATCTAGCCAATTGATCATAAAGCAAAATCCATATTCCACAGGGCATATGAGATAAAAAATGCAGGCCTAAAAACAAACGATGCAAAGGCCTCAGGTTTAGAAGAGAGTATTATTTAATCCAGGGCTAGAAAGGCACTTTCCATGCATGTTTGATGCCCACGTATCTTAAAGGGAAAGATCACCAAATCTGACTGCCCCAAATTTTAAAATGGAACCATGAAAGACAGGATGCACAATTTAACAAAAGTGAGAAGCAGAAAGGAAAATTGATGAGGAAAAGGTTAATATTCATCACAGCGAGAACGCCCCTAAAACAAGAAAAACGCAAATCAAAAAGGGTACAAATTGACAACTCAAAGTTGACAAAAAGCACAACTTGCCTGTAAACATTTTTTAAGATATTCAAAAGAAATGAAAGTTTGAAAGAGCATTCTCATTCCAAAAAGTTGATATAAAAATGTTAAAACATTAATTGGGCCTAATTTTAAGTTTCATACCAGTTGGAGTAAGTAATGAACCCCTTCAGATACAATGGAATGGAAAACAATAAACAGTTTTGGAGATTAAGATGAAATTACCTATTAATGAGTGTGCATTTTGAGCCAACCAGGATACTTCTAGCAATTGTCTTACAGACTTACAAAAGCAAGGTGAAGCAGTCTAACAATATGTTTCTTAGAGCCTTTTATGCAGCATTAAAGGTTGAAAACAGTCCGATGAATAATCAATAGGAGGCTGGTTGGATAAATTGTGAAACATTCAAATAAAGGAGTACTCTGTAGTCGAGAGGGAAAGAAGGAGAAAAGAGAACTGTGTGTCTAGGGTTTAGCACAATGCATTTTGCTAAAGGAAAAAAAGCTTCAGGGTGGTTTATAGAGAAAAACAGGTGCTGCTTGCAATGCTAAGAACATTCTGTTGTGACGGTCCTCGCCCAGTGCCCTAGGTCAGAAGGGGTTTCAAGCAAGCACTCGCTCTTCACCTGGAATTGTCACTGGACCCCTGGGCTAATGTTCTGGTCCTGGGAAGGTTTAAAGGAGACCTGGTGGCATAGAGGTTGTGGGTCAGACTGCTAACCGAAAGGCCAGCTGTCTGAAACCACCAGGAGAAAAGTGAAGCTTTCTACTCCCTTAAAGCCTTCGAGAGAAAAGTCTCTTTGGCCTTATAGAGAAACATGGTCTCTACAACCTGAGAAAACAGAGTTACAATCGCAGAAGCCCCAGGGCAGTCCTAGTCTGTCCTGTGGGATCGACATGAGTCAGAATCAACTCAATGGCCGTGAGTTTGTTTATTTGGTGGGAGGTTTAAAAATTCGATATGGAAATGAAGACAGGCCCAATTTTGTCCAGCATCAGAAGATTGGATAATGCAAAGGATTCTTGTTTGGTCATAAGTAGAAATGGAGTTCTGATCAATTTCCATCATGGGTGAACCTGAAAACCATTCTGGATGAGGAGTGAGTAAGTCAATCAATCACTAAAGGGTGATTTTTGTCTGCTCCCACTCATAGGAGGCAAAAATTAATAAGTGGTGGTCATCAGCTAGAAAGGGGAAATGGGGAGTTATTGCTGAGGAGAGACAGATTAGTGTATAGGGGGATGAAAAACCTTTAGAAATGAATAGTTAGTGGTTGTACAACATGTAAATGTAACGAACATAAAGAATGCCACTGAAGTAGATACCTTAAAACAGTGGTTCTCAACCTGTGGGTCACGACCCCTTTAGGGGTCGAATGACCCTTTCACAGGGGTCACCTGATTCATAAGAGTAGCAAAATTACAGTGATGAAGTAGCAGCAGAAATCATTTTGTGCTTGGGTAGGGTCACTACAACATGAGGAACTAACTGTATTAAAAGGTCACAGCATTAGGATGGTTGAGAACTACTGCCTTAAAATGGCTGAAATGATGTTTTGTTAAATAGAGGTCCGACCACAAGAAAAAAGTGAAATGAAATTAAACTCATGTTACTATCAGGTGTGTACGCTGTGTGCATTTGTACTCGTCAGAGTCTGCCATCTTTGCTCAAAGTACGTTGGTACGTTCTCTTGTTTAGGAGGACCTTTGAAATGCTTAAGAGACTCTGATCACCTAAATACTTAGGCGTTAACAGAGCTACAAAAAATGTTTTTAACTGCTGAGGAAAATTGTTTTGGCTCTTTGTATGCCTGTCTCAGTAGAAGCGGATCTGAAATTTTAAAGAAGCTGATGCGCCGTGTTCATGATTACTGACTGAAATGTCTCATGTAATTTGCATAATCATTTACATCGTGTTAAATGTTTAAGGTTCTAAACTATTAAACTTAGGAATTAATGAAATCTAATGATGAAAATTATTTTTAGAGTGGGAGAGAGAGTAGGCCTATACCCATGAGTACATATAGGTTTAATAAAGGATATTTCCACATGTACACTTACCTGTGCTGCAATTATATCCATGAATGTGGTAAAATATACAAGGGGCAGTGTTACAAAATCTTCTTAGGCATAACCAACTACCTTGGGCCTGGTGGCTCAGAACCACGGTCTCGGGGCATACCAAAGTCAATTGGCATAACATAGTCTACACAGACAATGTTCTGCATCTTACTTTTGTGAGTATAGGCTAGGGCCCTAAAAGCTCATGAATGGCTTTCTAAGATGCCTTGTCTGGCCAAAGGATAGTGAATGTCGCTGAAGATGCATGGAAATAATTAGGCCAGTGTGCTAATGGGTCATGTGAACATCAGCCTCCATGGCCCGAGACCAGAAATTGCTTTGAAAAGGATCTCATTCGAACTACTGAAAAGAGTGAGGTAACAAAATGTGGAACAAAACTTAAAAATCATAGAAAAGGCCAGGCCTACTGGGAGGATAGAGATTGATAGAACACCCAAGACTAAGGCCCTTTGTCACCCTCCAGGTCCGGAGCTGAACTCACCCGCTGTGATTGGATTGTGTGTCAACTTGGCTACCAACTCTCACAGTAAAGCAAGCCAGCGTTAGCCTTGTGTTAACATGAAGCTACCCCTCTTGGTTTATGATGGATGTTGAATGGAAGAAGAAGAGAAGGTGGAAAAGTGGGATAAGAAGGGAAAAAATGGCTCTAGTTATACTATCATCCTTCAGCAATTTATTGATGTTTCTCCCCCTTTGTTCTCTTGGTAAGACTTGATTTTATGGCTTTTCAAACTAACAGTTCTTGGGTTCACTTATTGATTCTCTTTTTGTCAGATTTTCTATCTCATTAATCTCTCCATTTATCTGTACTAATTTCTTCCTTCTACCTAGCATTATTTAACTTGGTCCCCTGCCCCAGCTTCTTGCCTTGAGTAATTCATTTTCTCCCAGTTTTAATTTCATATTAATTATATTTAATATTTAACCATGTAAGGTTCTGATGTGTATAATTTTGTCATTCACGATTACATAATCTGTAACTGTACTTTTCCAAATTTTAAACTAAGAATCATTTTTACATGCTTTTAAATTTCTAAAAGCCCAGAACTGGAAGAATGTTAGGCCTTTCTTGTGATCATAGAATCTGGTCTCAAAAAAAAAAAAAAGAATCTGGTCTCTATAATATTACTTTTGGAAATCTAATGAGTTACACCCCTCACTCCACCACCTAGTTTTTGACCTAGTATATGATTGGTGATTGTAATTATTCCATTGATATTTGAAAAATAATGTGCATTCTCTATTTGGGAAATATAGATGTCTTCATCTATTTATAATCAAGTTACTAATTTTATTTATGCAAATACTCCATAAGGCCTTTTAGTTTTTGTTAATTACTCTTTTGTTAGAAAGGTATATGAAACCTTCTACTCTAATCCTTGTCAATTGTCCATACATGATAGCTTTTAACTCATACATTTAGATGTTATATCATGTCCATAATCACTCATAATGGCTATAATGTTCTAATAGACTAAAAACTGTATCCTTACATAATTTTTTAGACTCCTTTTCAGTTCAGTGCTTTTTTGCATCAAATTTACCTGATGTGACTCTTGTTTCCCATTTTTGTATGGTTATATTTGTCACAGGATATCTTTCTCTACCATTTCTGTGTCATGTGTTAGGTCAGCCAAACCCGAGCTAATTCATCTCACTCCAAAAAAAGTCCTTACTTCTTCGGACGGACGGACTTATCCTGTGTTTCCATGATTTTCACTCACTGCTGTTTTATGACTAGGATTTTAATTCTATATTTCTCTGGTTCTTCGCTAAGAACTGGGAAAACAGAAAAGGTAATAACGATGGGCCTCCCCCCATCAACTTCAACCCAAACTCTGAAATGTGCTTTTAAATTTAAATTTTAACGGACTCTTTTTGTGAGTTATAAATTAAATATACCTCAAAACATCCAGGTATGAAAAAAAACGTTTTAGGTGTGTAAATGATGTCCAAACGTCGTCATAGCCTACAACTTTCAGAAATCAACTTTTGTGAGAGAAAACTCAAACTAACGTTTAACCCCTCAAGGCGCTTAGATCGCCCCCAGAGGAAACGGGGAACACGGTGGGTGGCCGGATCAAGCCTCCTGGAGAAAGAACTTCCCAAGCCACAACCTGGAGCACTGCATAACCTCCCCAACATCTCTATCACGTCATGTCAGGGCACGCACTTTGCTCTAGAGCCTCTCACTCTCGGCCGAGCAATCTAGTTATTAAAGCAATGATATGTTACAGAGTCCAAGGCAATTGAGGAAGTTGGGCAAAACTGGTGACCCCAGTTCCCCCTCCACCTACATTTAATCTACACACCTAACAGGGCAGCCCTCTGGGGGGTGTACTGCAACCGCCGGTACTAACCCCATCCAATTTCCCCAAATGTTTTCAGTAATTCATTTTTGCATTATTCGTGTGAGGAAAGCCAAGTTCACACCAGCGTCCTTGTGTTACAGTTAGAAAAGATGAAGTAGCTTGCCGAGTTCACACCGCTAGTTCTGACAGCAGAACCAGGATACAAGCTGTATGTTATGCACTCCTAAAACACGTGGGAAACAGACTCACAATGTGCCTGAGTTCATCTTTATAGATGTAAAGAGTCTTACCCCAAAATGCATCTTAGTTCTCCAAGACACAATTACTTAGGCCTTTCCTCGTGGCAATTAAGATTACCCGTCTTTTGAGCATCTCAGCTTCTTTCCACTAGAGGGAACCAGGGCCCAAGTTAGCCACTTCCTGTCTCCATGAAGCTGCTTAGACTGAATGTGGAATTACTTGAAGGGTTTATTTCAGCTGGGAATTGGGAAAAAGTGCCCTTTTGAATTCCATATTCATGTGTCTGTTTCAACATCCTAAATTATAGCGCATTTCACAATGAAAGTCAATTTGGATGAAAACATTCTCTTACCTTTTCCATGTTGAGAAATTCATTATCTAGTTTCGTCCCTTCAATACCGCTTAGTTTTTCACTAATGAGCTGCAGGGGGAGAAAAATTGCATTGTATTAATATTTCTCTCTTTTTTGTATAATTATTTCTTTTACAGTTTTTTCTAACCTAAATTATTTTTAAAACAAAAAGATTCCACTTTTTAAAAGCTAAGTCCTTTTAAAAAGAGATAATTCCTGGAGGGAATCAACAGGTGTTTATTTTGCGGTTTGAAACCGCCAGCTGGGCTGAGGGAGGAAGCTGATGTTCTCTGCTTTAATAAAGACTCATGATCTCAGAAACCAGCAGGGCAGTTCTACTTGTCTTACAGGGCTCACTGTAAGTCGGAATAGACTCCGTAGCAGTGAGTTGAGTTTTTTGTTTTTTTAAAACTGTGTGTGGCATGAGCCCTGGTGGCACTGTGGATTAGACATTGGAATGCTGACTTTAAGGTCAGCAGTTCAAATCTATCAATCACTTCCTGGGAGAAACATGAGGCTTTCCAGTCCTGTAAAGATGTACAGCTGCAGAAACCCTGTATAATTAAGGTCACTATGAGTCAAGAGGCTCAGCTTGAGGTAGGCTAGTAACATGGAAACATAAGATAGGATCCTTACTGTCCAGAAGTACACAGTCTAGGGCAGAGTTAATAACTAAACATACAACTAAATACTAGAGAGGAACAATATAAAAATGAGAGCAGTATTGAATATTCTAATAATTTCTCTGAATGAAATTATTATAAACATCCTAAGTGATCAGCAATTCAGTGGTGCCCAGGGGGGATTCTGAGAGATTCCAGCATGGGTTGGAGGAAGGGAAGCATCCCGGACCTGTTTCCTATAAGACATGGCATTTAAGGGGCACTTCAACAGGTAGCGCTGAACGAAAGCCCTTCCAGGGTGAAGCAGCATGAAGCGAAGACCCGGAGCGAGAGTGTGCACGACAGGGTTTCTCCGGCGGCAGGGAGACCATTCCTCTTTGCGGTGCCTTCTGTGGCGTTGAGGGACCCGCCCTATGTGTTTTAAGGTGTTTGGCAGCCTCTCTGGCCTATTAGATGCCAGTAGCACCATCCCCACTCCCAGGTGAGACAACCAGAATTGTCTTCAGACATTGCCAAATGCCTCTAGACTAGAGGGATGAAGCTGTTTCTAATTGTAAAACACTGATGGAGGGCAATGGACTCAAGAAAGCGCATGGGATTTGGTTTCGTGGTAACAAATCACTCTTAAGGGACAATGAAAGAAAGTTCAATCGGAAAGGCAGGGAAGGGCCAGATCACACTCCTGAATGCCAAGCTCACAGGCATGACTGAGGAGCCTCTAAAGATTCTCCTTGGAACATGATGCAGTCAGAAGCCTTTCTTGGAAGGCAACTCTGGCACTACTTTGTGTTGGTCTAGGGAACAAGGAGGATAGGTAGAAAGAAAAACTACTAAATCTCTCTAAGAAACTGCATCAACATGCATTGTTCATAACTTTAACATCTTTATATGAAGATAAAAATCAGTAATAAAGTAGGTACCATTAATGGAGGAGCTCTGGTGGCATCGTGGTTACACATTGGGCAACAATCCAAGAGGATGGCAGTTCAAAACCATCAGCCACTCCGTGGGAGGAGGAGGAGGCTTTCTACTCCGGTTAATAGTTACAGTCGTGGAAACTCACAGGGGCAATTCTACCCCGTCCTGTAGGGTCGCTATGAGTCAGCATCCATTTGGTTCGGAGTTATCGCTTAGTGGTAAGAGAGCTGTGGCTTGTTTTAAATCCACGTGCGGTGTTCTACTACTATTGGGATCATGAGGGTAAGTCAAAAAGTATTGCTCCTCCGATTCCAGTTCATAGATGCAAACATTCCAAACAAAACATGCCTAAGGATGTCTCTGTGAGCAGTGGATGGCTGCAGACAAAATCTCTCCATAAGACACTTGTCTCAGCCTCGTTAGCATACTTCAAAAATGGTCCAGTCGCGGCAGTGGCTTCAAAAGGGGTTCTCCTGAGCCAGTTACATGCAAGGCAGTGAGGTCGGCTCAGAAGGGTATCCAAAGGAATACTGTCCTTCGGGAATCCAAAGGGAATTCCACATACTGATAACTTTTCTCAAAGGGCAAAGGATAATCGTGGAGGCTGATTATGAAAATGTTGTCAGGAAATTGAAAAACGCACAGATTAGGGGAGTGGGGTGGGGGAAGACCAGGAGTGTCGTGCCGAGGACTTTGTGTCCATCATGACAATGCCCCTGCTCGTTCTTTCAGAGCAGCAAGGGCTGTCCTGCGAGGACTTCGCTGGGGAACCTTTGCCCCATCCAGCCCTGATCTGGCCCCTTCAAACTTCTTTTTGTTCCCCCAAATCGAAGACCACTGCAAAGGAGCAGGAGTGGGGTCCCTCGCAGATGTTCAAGAGTGCCCGATTCCTCTAAGAAGAGTCAGAGACGTGGCATCACCCCCTTCAGAAGTGCACGGACCCAGATGGAGACTGTCAAGAAACGAGAGCTTCACGTGCTGATATTTTATTGAATAAAGGTTTCTACTGTTTGGTAGCAATACTTTTTGACTGGCCCTTATGTGATCATCGATAAGAAGTAACGTAAATGAAGATAGACAGTATTTAACTTATTTTGAACTGTGAAAAGAAATTATTTATAGAGCATGGCTATGGAGACTACAAAAATGGCCACAATTCTCCATCTCCCTTGTACCAATGACTTTGCAATTCCACCCATCCAAAGTTAAGAATCTACCCTTTCACCCACTGAGGCTGGATTTGTCTTGACACTTTTTTGGCTCCTACAAGGTGGCAGAAGGTGCTGCCTGCCAGTCTTGGGCCTTGCGTGCATCCACTCACCCACTTGGAATCCCGATGCCACTACATGAGCAAGCCCAGGTTAGCCTGTTGGATGATAGTAGAGATATGTGACCAGCCAAGGCCCAGGATTCGAGCCAACTAGGTGACTTGAAGCTACCAGATGCACAGTCAATCAGATAACAGGTAAAGCAAGAAAAAACCCCAGCTGAGTCCAGCCTACTTGAATAATTCACAGAAGCGTGAGCTCTATACTAAATAGCTTAGCTCTTTAGGAGAATTAGACTAATATTGCACATAGTGACTACGAGTGCACATGCTGAAAATGGTCACAATCCTCCCCCCTTCGCTCTATCTAAGCTTCTTTACCATCTGATTTTGTAGTTTCTCCAAGTTAGTCTATATCCCCACCCCATGAATTTGGCCTGGGCTTGTGAACTTGTTTCAGCCAACAGAAAAGAGCCTGGGTCTTAAGAACTTGTGGGTGCTTCCACTTAATCTCCCTAACCTAGGCTAGCACCCTGTAAACAAGCCCAGTCTAGCTTGCTGGAGAGTGACACCCTCATCCTGGCAAGCAGAGCCACCTAGCTGACCTGAAGGCCTGGTGTTGTGAAGTCAGAGAGGATTCTCCTACTGCCTTGATACAAGTTACCTTCAATAGCAACAACCAAGAATCCCCCTGCCCCACACAGGGAAGTGTCTTACACAGGTATATCCATCAGCCAAGCTCTCTAAACATTGTTGTTGTTCAGTACTGAAATCTTAAAAATACTAGGTGTTGGGGCCAAAGAACCAATATTTTTAAGAGACTCGAGGGAAAATAACAAAGACTCTCTCCACAAAAGAACTTCCTATTTTGTTGCCTTGGTAAAATGCAAAAATGAGCACAATGCTCTGTAGTCCCTCCCATCGTGAAGTGGTGCCTAACCATTGCCAGCCACTGCCGGGAGAGAGTCTACAGAAGTCCTGCTCCATACGGGGCAAAGGTGGCACCAGATGTCAAATTCTCAATGGGTGTCCGACTTCCTGAAACCATTGAAGCTAGATCTCGTTAACCCTGAAACTATGACTCTTAGGTAGCATTGAAACTTTAAACCTTAAACCCAAACTATCCCCCCTCGCCAAAGTCTTTTTTGAATCAAAAATAATAAGGACCTTGTTTGAACTAAATATAATAAGTATCTCTCCCGTGAGAATTGTGCTTTTAAAAAGAACTATCCATGCAGGTAGATAAGAATCTGGAGGGTAGTTAAGTTTTCTTCGATGGCCGTGAAACAGTTCAGTGAACGATGGTGAGACTGTAATCAATATCGTTGATTATTCTCAATATCAGCAATCAATACCGCTGAGCTGTCCTGTGACAATTGTCCTCATGTATGACTGTGTCTATTTGCACCCAAATCTCAAAAATCAAGAAGTGGAGCCTTTTTCTCCAACCGTGACTTGCTTTGCCCAGTGGAAAACGGCATAAGCAACCCTATGTGAGCCCTGCGTATGCACTTGAATATAAAGATGTTTGAGAGCCCTCTGCTCATGCTCTGAGGTCCATTAACACCACAAGGGCATGAATAAGCCTGGGCTAGCCTGCTGGAGGGGCTACTTGTGGTCCACTAATAGAATTCTCATCTTGCATGTGGGAGACCCAGATTCAGTTCCTGGCCAGTGCCCCTCCTGCGCAGTCAGTATCCATCTGTCAGTGGAGGCTTGCAGGTGACTACAATGCTGAACAGATTTCAGCAGTTCCCAGGCTCAGATGGTGTAGAAGGAAAGGCCTGGTGTCCACTTCTAAATAATCAGCCAGCAACATCCCTATGGGTCATAATGGTCCAATCCACAACCAATCTTTGCAGAGCCATTGAGGCTAGTCAAACATCCAAAACTATTGTCCTGAGATCATCTTTAAGCTTTAAGCGTTTCATGCCATTGAACATTGGGATGGACATGATGTGGGTACCTACCAGATAGCAGCTAACCACTGCCTGTTGGAGCATAAAAAAACCAATTACCCAAAACAAAAATCCAGTCCATGGCCAGCAAGTGTGTTCTGGCTCATGGTGAGCCCAAGCGTGGCAGAGCAGAGCCTCTGCATACGGGTTTTCATGGCTTTAATCACCAGGCCTTGTGCTAAGGCCCTTCTGAATGTGTTTGAACTCTCAACCTTCTGGTCAGTAACTGAGCACTTAAATGTCTGTGTCACCTAGGGTCCTGAAAAACCACTTAGAGCAGAGATATGTCATCCAACACCCCAC